TGCAAGAAAGCTACCTGTTTGCACCTGTGATGAAAGTGAAAATTGTATCAAGAAATCTCTGACAGTGACTGTTATAACCATACACTGTTGGCTCTACCCCAACCCCCACATCCTAGCCCACCCTTGGCCTACAAAGTCACTGGCCCCTCCTCTCCTCTTGAGCTTTATCTCTCATTATATTCCCCTTTGCTTCTTTGCACTCAAACCCACTGGCCTTTTTCAGTTCCTCAAAGGTGACAGACTCTACCCCTCACAGGACTTCTCACAGTGCATGCCCTCTGCCTGTTACCACTTCCCTCATTAACCACTAGGCTTCTTTCAAACCTCAAAATGGCCTTTACTCTTTCAGAGAAGCACACACCCCCATCTCATCAGCTGCTGCTGCTCTGAGTGCCCTCACAGCACTATGAACCTCCCCTTTGGGGAGCTTAGCACAGCTGTGACACAACATTTGTCACTCTCCCCCAGTAGCTCCACCCTGCTTATTTTTGCTCACTGTTGCATCTCCACTATCTACAACAATGCCTGGAATGTGAATGATCAGTATGTGTATACGTATATATGTATGATTATGGATAACTTGCTAAGCACACTATATGAAAAATTACCACCAGCAATGAACAAATGGAATTTGAAATTAAAAACACCAGCCCAGCTGACGTGCCTCAGTAGTTGAGCTTTGACCTATGAACCAGGAAGTCACGGTTCAATTCCTGGTCAGGGCACATGCCCGGGTTGCTGGCTCAATCCCTAGTGCGGGGAGTGCAGGAGGCACCCAATCAATGATTCTCTCTCATCACTGATGTTTCTATCTTTCTCTCCCTCTTCCTTCTTCTCTGTAATCAATAAAAATATGTATATAAAAAAAAGAAGGTAAAAACATCATACCATTGTTCTAGCCAGTGTTCCTCAGTGGTTAGAGTGTCGGCCTGCGTACCAGAGGGTTGAGAGTTTGATTCCCAATCAAAGGGACTATCTAGGTTGCAGGTTCCATCCACCAGGGCGCACAAGGGAGGCAACCAATCGATGTGTCTCTCTAAATAGATGTCTCTCCTCTCTCTCTCTCTCTCTCTCCCTCTCTCTCCCCGCCCCACTTCACTCCTCCCTTTGACTCTCTCTTTAAAAAAATAAATCAATGAAAAAAAAATATCCTCACTCTTCCGGTGAGGATTTAAAAACAGCAACAAGACCATACCACTTACATTAGCACCCAAAATGAAATACTCTGATATAAATCTAACAAAATATGCATAAGATTTATATGAGGAAACTACAAAACTCTGATGAATAAAATCAAAGAATTAAATAAGTAGAGAGATATTTCTTTTTTTTTAAATATATTTTATTGATTTTTTACAGAGAGGAAGGGAGAAGGACAGGGATAGAGAGTCAGAAACATCGATGAGAGAGAAACATCGATTCAGCTGCTTCCTGCACACTCCCTACTGCAGATGTGCCCACAACCAAGGTACATACCCTTGACCGGAATCGAACTCAGAACCCTTCAGTCCACAGGCTGACACTCTATCCACTGAGCCAAACCGGTCAGGGCGAGAGATATTTCATGTTCATGGTTAGGAAGACTCAGTATTTTCAAGAAGTAAGTTCTTCCCAACTTGATCTATTGATTCATTGGAATTAAAATCCCATCAAGTTATTTATGGATATCTATAAACTAATTCTAAAACTTACTAGTATATGGGGAGACAAAAAGACCCAGAATAGCCAACACAAATTTGAAGAAAAAAGTTGGAGGACTGATCCTATCTGACTTCAAGACCTACTATATATCTGCAGTAATCAAAATGGTGTGGTATTGGTGAAGGAAGAGATTCATAAATCAATGGAACAGAACAGAGAGGCCAGAAACCAAGATGGCGGCATAGGTAAACACCGGAAATTGCTGCCTCGCACAACCACTTCAAAAATACAACTAAAAGACAAAACGGACAGCATCCAGAACCACAGGAAGGCTGGCTGAGTGGAAATTCTACAACTAGAAGGAAAGAGAAAAGCACACTGAGACTCAGAGGAGGTGCGGAAGTAAAGTGCAGAGGTACGGAGGCACACGCAGAAAGGGCTGGCAACTGAGGACAAGGTTGTCTTTTTCAATCGGGAGGGAGTCTCAAGCTCCTGAATGCTCTGAACTCCTGTTCCGGGCAAGTCTCTGGGGACCCAGACTCATATGGGGAGAAACTGGACTGTCTGGCATGGGTCCGAACTCCAGGGTGGCTTTCTCTCAGAGGTGCTTGCAGCGATTACCACGGGACACTGAGAGGCGGGGCCTCTTAGGGTAGGACTGAGGATCTGCCATAGCTGTTTGCTCCGCCCTGTTGATTACCTGAGACCCCGCCCCACCCAAGCTGCAGCAGAGG